CTTTTCCAGATTTCTTAGGCCTCGGGTTACAAAGACCACATTGCACAATTCTTAGGAGACTATGCATGGGGGCTGGGCTGGGATGAAGGGGAGTGTCCTGTATGTGTCAGAGATCCAGGAGTGGCCAGTTGCCAAGACACTCAGGTGTTGACAGCAAGAGACAGAATCAAATATCTCAGAATCTCTGAAGAGCTGGCTTTCTTTTACTTTTTGTTCTTTCAGAGTTATTAAATAAGACTTGTCAAGATGCGTCTTATCAGATGATTTGATAGAAAACATTTCAAAAGTTCACTTGCATACCTGTGTTTCAGTTTACTGAAGAGATTTAAGAATTCAAAACCCACAATGAAGAATCTGAAACTAAAGCTCATTTTATCCCTCCATTTTTTACAACCAGCTGTCTCCTGCAGTTTTGTGCTGTATTATGCACAAAATTACTCAATATATTACACAACTTTTGAAATTAATATGGAAGCTGAAAGATATTGCCACAGCCCTGTTTAAACCCTGCGCCTTGATGGAATGTTCTTTCCTGTTGGTAATCATTTCATAAATCTCTTTTATTAAAAACAATCTGTGTGGAAAACCAGAAGCATATGGAAGATCTTTACAGGATACATACTTTTCATTTGGTTAAAAAAATTAATCTAGTGGCCTACAGATATATGGCTATAAAAATAAGGCCTATATTTATATTTAACAATTATTAATTTCATTTAATTTTCTTTCAGATGAATTCAAACAGAGAAAGCTCTGGGAATCTGTATCCAGGGAGTGCGCAGGTTATCTGGAGATGCAAGACATTCATAGCTCTATATAGAACAAACCCTGGATACATCTAAGGCAGCTACTGAATTATCAAGTTATTTCCAAATAAAATATTAATTCATGGGAGTAAATCAGGGAAGGCTCAATAGAGAACATATTAGGTAATAGGACTGGCCAATTACCATGGATGGTATAATGGCCCCATACCTGCCAGATGAAGTGTTTACATTAACAGAGTACACATACTCATACCACAGCATATACACATATATACACATAAACAAATTGTCTACCAAAACCAGAAAAGGCAAGGCCATCAGGAAGTCTGTGTATTTATTATAAAGCAAAAGCTTGTTAATTGTACAAATGCCTTTTCCCCTCACTGGACCACTTCTATCCAGGCCTCAAGTCATAGTAGCCTGTCAGTTTCCCTGAATTTATTTTCATTGTTATATTAGCCTTGTGGATAGAGTCTTGAGTGCCTTTTCTTGACTTTAACCAAAGTTTGTTTTGTTTGGAACTATGAAGGCTAGGAGAGCTTTGGTGAATAGTGTCACCTACATAGAGTATCTGAATTTACCGATAACCACACCAAGGTGACAAAGTGAGATTTTATTAATCTCAGAGTAGTCCAACTTGGAAATTAAAATAGCTAAAATATGAACCAGTAATCTCATCCAGCATGAGTTAGGGGCAGGGAGAATTGGAGAGGTCACTAGGCTAAGAGTGAGAGTACTTAAGCTTTAGTCTCCAAGCCAGCACTAGCTAGCTCAATGACCTGTCAACACACTTAACCTCTCCGTGCTGGTTCCTCTCCTAGAAATGAAGGGCATTGGAATAGATGATCTCTAAGTTCTCCTCCAACTCTAAAATTTGGTGGTATGTGGCTAACACAATGGTTGGAAAACATTATAGTCAATAAATATAAATGTGGATGAATTAAGACATTCCATATTTTATTATTTTAGGGTGAACCTAAACTTAGTTTTTAAAAAATATAAAATGGACTTCCGGCAAGATGGAGGAATAGGTGGACGCACCGTACCTCCTCGCACAACCAAGATTAGAACAACAATAATTTACAGATAGAGTAACACTCAGAACTGATAGAGGATTTATCTGAATGGAAGTTGGACAGCCAAGAAGTTGAAGTAGACCCGTACATCCAGACTGGTAGGAGACGACGAGCCGGGCAGGTGCAGGGCTGGCGCGGGTCGGCGGCGCACAGAGGTCGGGAAAAATTTGGCGCGAATTTGGCGCGACAGCCATCCGGGGCGCAAGAACGCAGTGGTGATCCCTGAGTATGCAAGCTGCGGCTGGTGGACCCAGTGAGGCAGCGATTGTGGACCAGGACAGAGCTCGCAGCCCAGGATCCCAGAGAAGGGTCTGAGCCCAGGAGAACGGAACTACCACCATCATTCCCTCCTGTCCCTGCTCCCGCCCCCACCCCCCACATATAACATCACAATCTAGCGACTGGGGTGCCCAGCCCCGGTGAACATCTAAGGCTCCGCCCCCCACCGTAACAAGAGTGACCAGACCGGAAAAAAAAAAGGAGAGACAGGGAAAGACATAAGACATGTTTCCAACAGAACAGATCAGTCCCCCAGGACTCATCCTTTTGAGCAACCAAGAAATAGCCAATCTATCAGATGCACAGTTCAAAACACTGGTGATCAGAAAGCTCACAGAATTGGTTGATTTTGGGTGCAATTTAGATGAAAGGATGCAGGTTACCACAAAAGAGATGCAGGAAGATACGCGGAGGAGAGCCAATAGTGAAAGGAAGGATTCTGAGTCTCAAAACAATACAGTGGACCAGAAGGAAGATAGAATCAACCAAGCAGGAAAGCATGATGAAATAAGAATTCAAAAAATCGAGGAAAAGCTTAAGAGCATCCAGGACACCTTTAAACGTTCCAACATCCGAATTATAGGGGTACTAGAATGGGAAGGGGAAAAGCAACAGATTGAGCACGTATTTGAACAAATAATAAAGGAGAACTTCCCCATTCTGGCAAAGGAAATAGACTTCCAGGAAATCCAGGAAGCTCAGAGAGCCCCAAAGAAGTTGGACCCAAGAAGAAACACACCAAGGCACATCATAATTACATTAGCCAAGGTAAAAACGAAGGAGAGAATCCTAGAAGCAGCAAGAGATAAGGGGACAGTAACCTACAAAGGAGTTCCCATCAGACTGTCAGCTGATTTCTCCAAAGAGACCTTACAGGCAAGAAGGGGCTGGAAAGAAATATTCCAAGTCATGAAAGACAAGGACCTACATCCCAGATTGCTCTATCCAGCAAAGCTCTCATTTAGAATGGAAGGGAAGATAAAGTGCTTTTCAGATAAGGCCAAGTTAAAGGAGTTCATCATCACCAAGCCCTTATTTTATGAAATGCTAAAGGGACTTATCTAAGAAAAGAAGATAAAGAAAAAGACATGTATAGTAAAAGGACAGCAAACTCACAATTATTAACAACCACACCTAAAACAAAACCAAAAGAAACTAAGTAAACAACTAGAACAGGAACAGAGCCACAGAAATGGAGGGCACATGGAGGGCTAGCAGCAGGCGGGTGGGAGGAGGAGAGAGGGGGAAAAGGTATAGAGAATAAGTAGCATAGAATGTAGGTTGAAAATAGATAGGAGGAAGGCAAGAATAGTACTGGAAATGTAGAAGCTAAAGAACTCATAAGTATGATACATGGACATGAACTAAAGGGGGGAAACGTGGATGGGAGAGGGGGTACAGGGTGGAGGGGAGAGAAGGGGGGAAATGGGACAACTGTAATAGCATAATCAATAAATATATATTAAAGAAAAGAAAAAATATAAAATGAACAAAATCTAAAAACTAAACCAATGAGGCTTTAATTTGCAAGGACTTAAGAGTTTATATCATAATCTAATTGTGAAAATCATAGAGGCTTTTCTAGATGGAAGTTGAATATGTGCTAGAGTTAATGTGCAAGTACATTTTGTTTTTATCTGGACCTTTGGGTTTATTTATGCCCTGTGGGTTATTGCTACTTTTGCCGTGTGAGAGTGTATTGGCTTACTCCTGAGATACATTTATTCCTGATGTGCTAGAGGCCAAAGGGTGCTAAAATTGTGTCCTATAGATAGAGATTGGGTCTCCCCTCCCTTGCCTATTGCTACTGGGGTCTTCTGTGGTTAATTAATCTACCCGTCAGAACATTGGACTGCTGCTTCCACTGAGGGAGCATGGCAATAAATTCGGATCTTGCAAGTGAATCTTAGTGCACTTACTGAGCAGTCCAGTACTCAGCTCTGGGGTCACAGCATACTGAGGCCAGAGGGAAGCCAGTGGAGATGAGTCAGGGCCCGGCACCCGCCCCATGCTCCACCCTCCTGGTAAACAGAACAGCTATTTGCTGTCACTGGGAGCCTCTCAGAGCCCCAAGACTCGAGGCAGAAACAAATACTTTAGAAGCCAAAATCCCAAGGCAAGGTAGAGAAAACAGAACTGTCCACATCCCCAGCGATGATTTCACTAGTTTGAGTTCCTTAGAGGAGGAGAAATTAGAGATCTTTCCAGCTGAACTGGTTTACTTATTTCTCAACCATAAGGCCCTTCTTCTTCACTGTTTATAGGGGGTGGCCTTTTGCCTTTTAAGCCTTGAAATTTCAAAACCAGACTTTAGAATAAATCTCAGTTGCTAACCCATAATAAACTTTGTTTCCCTCTTTTATAACTTTTGTTTATAAGTTTTTTGGTACTATCTTCTATTAAAATACTTCTTTTAGTTAACTTTTTTCATTAAGTTTATTCTTCTCTGTCATTCTGGGGAGAAGTTATTAAAAGCATGTCATATAGATAAAGGAATAAACATCACTAGGCAATAAACATGGACTACTTTAGAAAGTAATTTTACACCAATCTCTTGAGGTGCCTGTGCCTTTTACATTTTCCCAGTGGTTAGGGAGAGGATAGTGAAGGGATAACAGTCCTGGAAACGTTCTATGGTCTGGCTTCATGACAGTTAAGTCTAGCTGTTGGGAGGACCAGCTCTGCTTCCTGTGGACTGCCTTTGACCTTTGGTCTGTTTATTTGGAACGTTTATATTATCCTAAAGTATCTGGTACATAGCTTCTGTGCTTATGCTGTTATTCCTAAGCTTGGAGACACACTCATTTTGTGGTCCTCTCCTCTTGTTCCTTTATAGACACCAGCTATTTCCATTCTGAGCTTAGCAAATGGCACATACCTGAACTGGAGGCATGGCTGGCTGATTCCTTCTAACTCTGTCAGGTAGAGTCCCACCTCTAATATATCAATAGCTGCAACTCCTGTTACCTTCTTCTCAGTAGCCAGATTGAGCCTGGGCTGGATATTGTGATGTCACAGAGTATAATCCTTGCTCCTCCCAAAGAGCCAGCTGAGGCCCTTTGGCTCCCTCACCCCTCCCTGTTTGTGGTGAGAGATTGGAAAGTCCACCTCCTAATTTCTAAACTGACACACAGAATTCTAGAATCTTACTGTAGAGACCTAGTGACTAGCTTCTAGTCTAACTCCCTTATTTTACAGATCCCTTATTTTACAGGTGGTTAAGTAGCAGAGCTAAATCTAAAACCCTGGTGCCCTCAGTGTTAGGGTACTGCTTGAGCATATGCTTTGGATTTTGTTAACATAACTATTTTCTGCTTGGCAGCTGATGAGATGATTTTTACTTGAATCTACCTAGATCAAGAGACCATTCAGAATGCCTTATGGGAAGAGAATAGTCACACTGACAGTCATTAGTTTTTCCAACAATCCGTCAGTGCCAGGAATCACAAATTCTGGTCCTAGCCCTAACTCAGAAATTTTGAGCCACCAGACCAATTATAGATTAACAAGTAATGTGACTTCTGCATAACCAATGTTTTCAGTGAGATTTAACAGTGAGGAACAAAGTTCAAAAGCCCAGGGTTACTGCAGTGCCATATCAGGTTCTAGTGTTTATTGAGGGGGGAATGGGAAGGAACCATCAGTAAAGAAATATTCTCACTGGAATTTAGTTCCTTCTTCTTTCATACCCTTCACTTTTTCTAGACACTGTCCCCAGATGGTCTTAAAAATTATCTGCATCATATGAGATGACATGTGTCTGTCAAGCCAGGGAACTGTGATTTTAGAATCTCTCAAATGAAGTACGAGTTCTGCCTGTCAGTTCTGCCTGGGAAAAGTCCAACCATTGTTAATATAACAAGAATGGTTTGCGTGACTTCGATGTAGCCTGGCAGCCAAACACAGTGGACTGGAATGCTCATGTGTGAATAATGACAACTTCACTGAACTAGTCAGTGGGGGCAGTAGACACTGTTGAGTGAGCATATGTACTGTGTGGCTTTCGCATTCAAAATGACTGTTTAGGTACAGCAATGAATCTGCATCAAATTTTGTGTTAAGCGTGAACATTTCTCCGCGGAAACTATTTGGGTGATTTAGAAAGCCATGGGCAAATTGGCGGTTGGCAGTTTCATCACAACTGCTCATGCATCACGTCTTGTGCAGATTTTTTTGGTGAAACATCAAATTACCCAGGTGACTCAGTCACCCTGCAACCCAGATTTGGCACTCTGTGACTTCTGGCTTTTCCCAAAACTAAAATCACCTTTGAAAGGGAAGAGATTTTGACCCTCAATGAGATTCAGGAAAACATGATAGGGCAGCTGATGGCAATTGGAAGAACTGTGTGAGGTCCCAAGGTGAGTACTTTGAAGGGGATTAAGGCATCATTGTCCTATGTACAGTACAATTATTCTTCAATAATTATCTCTATTTGTCTTAGTATGTGGCTGGATACTTTCTGGACAGAACTTGTGTATATTGCACTTTTATAATACCAAAAACTAATATTTTATATTATGCTTTAGCATTTACAAGCCACATTTACATATATCATTTCATTTAATCATCACAATTCAGTGAGGTAAACTATTTTTTAGTAAAATTTTACATGTGAGAAAATTATAGCTTAGAGAGGTTGTGACTTGCACATTATCACAAAGTAATTAAGCAGAAAGGGTAATATTAACTACAAACCAGCTCTTCTAGCCAAGCATTTTCCCCACCACAGGGCTTCCCCAGAAAGGGAGGGATTGCCATTTGGTCCCAGAACACACTTGAAAGCAATTGCATTAAGTAACCCTTTGAGTAACAAAGAAGAAATTATTCCCATGGGTCATAAATACTGCTTTACTGACCTCCTAAATGTCTTCATAAAAACTTAAAGAAATAGTTAATGAACACTAATTGCAAACTTTAAAATAATAAAGTCATTGCTCTTCCACCTGACAATTGTACATCTGTGAATTCTTCTCAGGGAATCACTGTAAAATAGGAAAAATATTTAGCTATGAGGGGTTCTTCGAAGCATTGTTTATAATAGAAAACAAGTTAAAAGCTCAACATTAGAAGAGTGGTGAGATGCATTATACTTAACTTATGAAAGTAATGAAAATAATGTTGTAGATGAGGATTTCCCAAATTGTAATCATTTATGTGCCATCTCTGGAATATTGCTTAATAAAAATGTAGCCATGCCTGGAGAATCAGAAAGATATGTGTAGCTAATGTTTGTTCCCATGAGATCCACTTCATGTACTCATAAAATGATAATATTTTATTAAAACAAAGGTAGTGCTGTATACTAGAGCACAATTCATTTTTAAGTAGTGCTAATGACATTAGTAAAAGAAAATGTCAGCTAAGTTGCAATAAAACGTTTCCAGCCCAATGAAAGTAGTTTAAGTTGAATGCTTTAAAATATTTGGCTTTGAAAGTTTAAAATAATAGGTGATCACAGATTCAAGAAACACAATGCTCAAGTCATTAGCAAAGACATTTTATGCTGTATCATAATTAAAATCTCAGGGACTTCTTGATTTAGATTCTGTAAGGTGAACCCTATAGGACTGCCTTTGCAATGTGGCTCCTCTCTGAAGAACAGAAAGTTAAACATAGGACCAATTACACAAACATTTTAGGAAATAAAAAACATGTATTTGGGTTTGTAATAAATTTGCATAATTCCATTTGAACATGACTTCCTGATCTTTTGGAAATGCTTTAAACCGAACATAAGATGCACTGTGAAGATCTACATTCCCAAAAACCAGAGCTTATATTGGTCTAACTTTCCCACCAAGATACCTTGTGAAAAAAAATTTCCTAGTTCTTACACCTATGACAGACATGGACACAATCATGTCTCAGGAATAAGGGAACATATTTACTGAGCTTTGTGATTAGGTACTTAACATGCATTATATTTGTCCTCACCACTCTCTTGTGAATTAGGTTCTTATTAATGCCATTTTACCTATAAGGATTTAGTGCAGAAAAGTAAAATTAGCCTTGAGCTCTATAGCAGTGAGTGATGGAGACAAGACTGAACCTGAGACACCTCTGACTCCAGAGGTTGTGCTCTCTCTCCCCCAGACTGAATCATCTAGCATGAGCGATACAACTTACACTTTCCCCTACATCAGAGAAGGTAATATGTCTGGGCTTGAACACTGAGCTAGGTTTCTTTTTTTAAGTATATTTTATCGATTATGCTATTATAGTTGTCCCATTTTCCCCTCTTTATTCCCCTCCACCCTGCACCCCCCCACCAGCTCCCCCCCACTCACCCTGCCTCATTTCATATCCATGAGTCATATACATAAATTCTTTGGCTTCTCCATTACCTATACTGTTCTTATCCTCCTCCTGTCTATTTTGTACATACTAATTACTCTTCTTATTCCCTGTATCTTTTCCCCCATTCTCCTCCCTCCCCCTCCTCACTGATAGCCCTCCACATGATCTCGATTTCTGTGATTCTGTTCCTGTTCTAGTTCTTTGCTTAGTTTGTTTTTGTCTTTGTTTTTAATTTCAGTTGTTGATAGCTGTAAGTCTGTTGTCATTTTACTGTTCATAGTTTTGATCTTCTTTAAGTCCCTTTAACATTTCATATAATTAGGGCTTGGTGATAATGAACTCCTTTACCTTGACTTTATCTGAGAAGCACTTTATCTGCCCTTCCATTCTAAATGATAGCTTTGCTGGATAGAGTAATCTTGGATGTAGTTCCTTGCCTTTCATGACTTCAAATACTTCTTTCCAGACCCTTCTTGCCTGCAAGGTTTCTTTGAGAAATCAGCTGCTAATCTTATGGGAACTCCTTTGTAAGTAACTGTCTCCTTTTCTCTTGCTGCTTTTAAGATTCTTTCCTTACCTTTAATTTTGGGTAATGTAATTATGATGTGCCTTGGTGTATGCTTCCTTGGGTCCAACTTCTTTGGGACTCTCTGAGCTTCCTGGACTTCCTGGAAGTCTATTTCCTTTGCCAGATTGGGGAAGTTCTCTTTCATTATTTTTTCAAATAAGTTTTCAATTTCTTGTTCTTCCTCTTCACCTTCTGGCCCCCCTCTGATTCAGATGTTGGAATGTTTATAGTTGTCCCAGAGGTTCCTAAGCCTCTCTTCATTTTTTCAAATTGTTCTTTCTTCATTCTGTTCCAGTTGAATATTTCTTTCTTCCTTCTGCTCCAAATCATTGATTTAATTCCCAGTTTCTTTCCCTTCACTGTCAGTTCCCTGTATATTTGCTTTATTCCACTTTGCATAGCCTTCACTTCTTCCTCTATTTTGTGACCATAGTCAACCATTTTTGTGAACATCCTGATTACCAATGCTTTGAACTGTGCGTCTGATAGGGTGGCTATTTTTGGAGCCTTGATCTATTCTTTCATTTGGGCCATATTTGTCTTTGCACACCTGTTACATAGTAAGTGGTAGAACTTAGGTATTCACAAGAGCAGGGCAACTCACATGGCTGCATTGTGACACTGTATGTGGGGGAAGGGTCTGATAGGGAATAATACTGCTTGCTTGGCTCTCTGCCAGCTTTTAGTCACTTCCACTACTACCCACAAACAAATTGGGCCCTTCTGGTGCTGATTCCTGGGTGGGTGGGATTGTGTACATTCCAGGATCCTGTAGGTCTCTCCAATGAGCTCTCCTGTGAGGCTGGTAGTCTCTCCCACCATGACAACCACTACATGTTTTTACAGCCAGAGGTTTTGATGCTTTTCCCCACCTGTACTGGAACCCTGGGTTGCACAGTCTGTCTTGCTCCCCAGTTATTCCTTTTGATTTATCCACATGCAAATATGGGACCACCTGATCCTCCAGCTGCCACCTTGTGGTGAGTTCTCTCCATTCTGGCTGCCCCTACCAGTCTGGACGACTGTTTCTTCTTTAACTCCTTGGTTGTTGAACTTCCATACAGTTCAAGTTTCTGGTAGATCTGGGTGGTTTTTGTTTTTAAGTTTGTTTTTGTCCTTCTTTTGGTTGTGCAAGGAGG